CTGCAGGAGACAGCCCTACACAGCCCCCTCTTCACCACCTTCAATCTTCCTTTCAACTGTCTTGCACCTCTCTTCATAAACATGCTCAGCTCTCTCGCCTAAAAATATCTTGACTCTGTCATTCCCTTGAATCCCTCACCTGCTTCACTTCTCTTCTTTCCTGGCCAAGCTCCTTGAAAGAACTGATTTCCTCCACGCACTGGCTCCCAAGCTCTTTAGGGGCTACAGTCTGTTTGCCTCAACTGTGGGCACTGGCTAGGTAAGTATTAAGATGACGGAACAACAGATGTAAAGGAGCTTACCATGCTCTATGACAAAGGGGAATCCGAAGGCAACAGAGACAAGCCTGCCAACCAAGGTTTGACTAGGTGGCTGAGTGAGGGAACAAATGGGGTTGAGCTTCTTCAAAAGTGGGGAGAATTCCTAAGGGTAAAGATATGAGGGAGGGCATCTTCATGTAGAGAAATGCCCTCGACCTTGTCTGAAGAGTTCCTCTGAGTCTCTCCTTTGGGTCAACTCATTACCTAAGTTGTGTCTGCTTTTTTGTTTTTTAGCATTAATTGGTTTAACAGACTAACTGGCTCAAAAAACAATGGAACTCGAAGTTTATACATGATGGGAAAAACGAAAGGTGAATGTGCTAGCTAACTTCAAATATCTGAAAAACTGTCATATGAAAAGATATTTATGTTGCTCAAGAGGACAGTACTAGAGTCATAGGGTAGTGTGAGAGAAGGCAGATTTTCAACTCAAATAAGGCAGCATCTCAAACAATGAGCGCTGCCTAGACTGGACTGGCCCACCTACCGCCCCAGCCAAAGATGCTGCTGTGGCTGCTGCATGCTGCATGCAGGCTGCAGTTTCCCCCTTGGCACTCCAGGCTAGTGTCGGAGAAGGGCAATCCTGGCAAGGCGCACACACCAGCGACTGCAATGACCACATTTCCACTTCCGGGACTTCTCCTAGTCCTTCTTGCTTTAATCTCAACTTCCTGTTTTATTCAAATTTCCAGGAGGCCTTACTGTACCAAAATCACCAGGCCTGTGTCTCTTACCCTTGACCTGTCTTTCCAACCTGGCCAGTGCCATGTAAGGCCTCTTCCCAAACTGCTTCTCATCTCTCTCCTCTTTTTCTGTTCACTCCTTTCCTGTGTCCTTTGCAGAGTCATCCTCTTTTAATGGGTCACTAAGTATCTGGGTTCAAAGGCCGAGTTCCAATCCTATTCGCTATAAGCTCTGCGTAGGTGAACTCTCCTCTGAGCTTCTGTTTCAACTTGTCAATTTCTCATTTTTTTCTCTAGTTCCGATTTTCTCCTTTTTGAGATAGAGGGCTGTATATCTCACTGCCCATTTGATATCTCCTCTAGGCTGTCTCACAGGCACCTCCAATTCAACTTGTCTATAACATTAGGCCTGCTCTCTCTCTGCACCAGAAGACAAGCTTCCTTCTTTGTTCCTTTCTTGATGAAAGGCAATACCATCTCTCAGATTATAAATCAGTAACTTATCTCCTGCTCTCAATGCTTGTAAATTCAATCAAATACACATAGTCATTTTTAAACCTTTGACCTCAGAAATCCCTTACACTTTAAAAAATCAAGGTCACCAAATAGCTTTTAGTTATGTGGATAATACTGAGTGACACTCACTGTACTAGGAATTAAGGATCAGAAATTACTAAAACAAAATAATGCACAAGCACACATTCCATTCACCATCAAAGCAATGACAGTACCTCCGGCACATAATCTCTGGAAAATTCCATTGCATATTTAAGAGAAAATAACTGAGAAGGCAAATCACACCTTGTATTATTACAAAAAGTAGTTCTGCCCTCACAGACCTCTGAGAGGCTCTCAGAGAGACCTCAACCCCCACATTACACTCTGAGCGCCACCAACCTGTCACGTTTTTACCTGTCAGTTTTACCTTCTAAATGTCTGACTCACCAGTTCCTTCCTCTGCCCACAGCTGCTGTTAATCTACACTAAACTTGTGTCTCTTTCACCTGGACCACTGCATTAGCCTAATACAGGCCCATGATATCCCCCCTTGTCCCCTTCCTATCTAGCCTTCATATGGTGGCCAACTTTTCTAAATACAGAGGAATACACCCATTCCTCTTCACTTAAAAACCCTAAAAGGGGCCCTCCCTGGTGGCGCAGTGGGTTAAGGCACAGCACTGAGAGGCCGGAGCCACTTCCGCATGAGTTCAATTCCCGCCTGCCCCGGAGGAGACCACATGGCGTGGCAGACCTCTCCTGACCCGCCCGCTGCTCCCCTCAGCAGTGTACTTCATCAATCTGCCTGTTCTGCTCCCCACTCTGTCTCTGGTGAAGTCTCTCGCCGCCCCTGCACCTCTGGCCTGTACCCCAGTCTGTATGCATAAATAAATAAATCTTTAAAAAAACCCTAAAAGGAACTTTCATTGTGTTCAACATAAGGACCAAGCTCTTCATCACAGACCACAGGTTCTGCCTCCCTCCCCAACTTCAGCATATCCTCCTGGTCACAGCTTTCCAGCCCTGAGGACTTGTTAAAGTTGGTTGTTTTTTTTGTTTTTTGTTTTGGGGGGGGGCGGATGAGGAACAGATTATTCCTGTTCCGAATACTCCCTCACCATTAGTCTTTGCATGGAAGTCTTTTCCCCAGAACTCCCATTCATGCCGTGATGTCACTGCCTAAGGTGCCCTGGTGCTGATCAGGTCACATCCATCTGCTCATGGTACCACACACCCTTTGGCCACGGCCTCTCATACATTAACTGCATCACAATAAGTAAATGTCTGTGTCCTTTGGTCATGAGGGTCACAAGGACAGGAGCAGTGCCTTTTTGCTTCTCATGCTTCTGGCACAAAGTAAGTACTTTAGTAATTACTTCTTGAATGAATGAAAATGCAGTTTGATAAGGAGAGAAGTAACCTAACAAAGTACTAGGATAAGCATTACAATGGAGATGGTAGCCAACTTTTCAGTGGCTGCCCACTGCCTACACATACAGTCAAGGCTCCTAGAAAGTCACCCAGGCACTCTTTCTCAGCCACCTCTATTTCCCCTCCAGATACATGAAGCAACCTAGATGGTGAGATTTCTACAAGCAAAATAGTCTCAAAGCCCTCTGCCTTCATCATTGTCTCTGGAAATGCTCCCCAATCTCTAAAGATTCTGCTCAAACATTTCTCCACTCCAATGGAATGAACTCCCAGGTCATTCCAGATAGAAATCATTTCTGCCGTTTCTATAGAAACAGGGGTTAGTTGGCCCATTTCTCTGCTCACATTCACCACACGTCATTTACACTCCAAACCACTGGGGGTGCTTGGAACCCACCACCTTCTTTTGTGATCATGGCCAGGAGGAGCTTTCCCAGGCCTGGAATATGTGTTTCCACTTGGTGCCCAGTGAGTCTTCCTTTGCATGCTAGCTCAGATGTTACCTTTTCTGGGAAGGACCCTCATAGTCAAGGCAATCTGTACCCCAACTCTCGCCCTCCCCATGCCTCCACTGCAGTGTGTCCCGCCAAGGGGCTGGCTCAGAATGCTGCTAGGTGAAGGAACGCAGGTGCTGAGTATACTGTAGGGCTGTGCTTCCATTCTCTCGATAAACAGGAACAACTTATTGAAATCGTATTCTTCAGTGTTCTCAGACAAGGAAATTCCATAAATGGCTCCCTTCAACAATGACCCAGCATTTAGTTCTTGCCTCTACACACAGAACACAAACTCTTGCTAAGAACAAGTAGGCGGTCCAATTGTTGTATCATGTCAATACTCACTGCTTCCTTTACAAGTGAATGCTGTCCTCCCTCTCCTCAGTCTCTGTGTCTGCTACAGTGGCTAAGCTGGAAGAGCTTCCCAGGCTCTAGGACACCTGGATTTCAGGGTCAGAGATGCTCTGGATAGGGTCTCCTTGTGGGGTGCTGGCTTTCTCTTCAACCAGCTTATTGAAAGCATAGCTATTAATAATCCATAATGTCCACAAATATGAACTCATATATGGACTTTCAGCTGTACTATCAGGGCTTGCCTGAGCTGCAACAATTACTAGGTGAAGCAAAGTTACTACAGTAACAGTCTTCCTGCTACCAGGAAGTTTAGTGACAGACAGGACTGATGCTCACACCTTGCCAAGTTGATTTCAAGATCTTGGGAGAGAAGTTCAATTTGATGCATTTCTACCTCTATATGCAATAGCTCTCTCTGCTGAAAGTAAGAAAGGAAAAAATAGTCAAAGCCACATACTGGGGAGCAAGTTGTGAAAGCAAGGGGAGGCCAGCCCTGCAGTCAGAGAGACATGGCGAGCACCTCAAGGACACCTGCCTGGACACAGCCTTACACATAGAGTCTCTACATCAGGGCACTAAGTTCAACACAAAGGTACTGAGGCCAGGTTTTCCCTCAATATAAACTTCACAGTTCAAGAAATGGGCATTCTTCTCAGATTCTGGGAAACGGGATCCAGAACAATACAGGACTATCTGGCATACTGCGCAGATCTCATCTTCTTTTCCTTGAGAAGCCTGGCAACAGCTACCCAGTTTTTTCCTAGTTAGCCAGTCATATACACCATGTCAAATGTGTCCTGTCCTTTTCTTGGCAACTTAGTTTTACTCTCCAAGAGTCAATGTCTTTCTCAAAGCATAAGGAATCCGCAGGAATAATAAACAAGAGGTCTGAGATCAAACTTGGACCGGAGTTCTAACTTCACAAGCCCTGGTCCTTTTGGGAAAAAAACGGTTTAAAGTAGGGCAGACTGCACTAAAGGTCTTCAAGCAGAGCTGAGGAGACCATTTTGCAGGGCCATTTATAGCAATCTGATTATGCCATCACATCTTTCTACCATGCCACCCCAGACGGCCAGGGCGCCATCCCAGTCATATCTCTACCTCTTGTGCACAGAGTAGCAATCACCACGCTTGATGATTGTTTAATTAATATTTGAATTTTTAAAAAACACGGGCATATTAATTAGATGAGAGAACAAAAGGCTTGAAATACTCACTGACAGAGAGATGCCTGCTTCTGGGTTCGGTGGGCTGGTAGATGGTATTTAAGTCTCCTGCAGACTGGGAAGCTTTGATCCGCACCTGCCTGGACACCCCTGAGTGGGGTGAGGAACTTGTCTGCAAAAAAAGGAAAAAAGGACTGAGCAAACAGGCCAAGAAAGGTCCTTTGTCCTTTTCCCTTCTCCAGGGCTCCCCACTTCTTGATCATCTTCATGTTTTTAATACATGAGCTATACACACAGCTTTCCCCCAAATCTCACTCCTCAGTCTGTCCTGGTAAGTCACTATTTGCTGGCTGTAGTGTTATGGCTTCAGTGATGTATGGGCACTGAGACTTGTTGCCCCAATTTAATGGGTGTTGACCGAGACACTGAGGAGTAACAGGCATCCTGTTATAACATACCTAACAGAAGAGAGTTGTAAATACCCCCTCATAAAATTCTCCAGAGTAGAGAAAGAATAGCAGGAAATTATTTCAGTGGCAAGGTCACCTACTCAGTAATGGTCAGAATGATATCAATCCCTCTACCCAACCAAATTCTCATTGATAAATGTTTTTAAAAATAACTTAATATGCTGTCCCTCCCTGGTGGTGCAGTGGGTTAAAGCACAGCACTAAGAAGCTTAAGCTGCTTCTGCATGAGTTCGATCCCCGCCTGCCCCAGAGGTGACCACATGGCGTGGCAGACCTCTCCTGGGACGCCCGCTGTTCCCCTCAGCAGTGTACTTCGTTGATCTGCCTGTTCTGCTCCCCACTCTGTCCCTGGTGAATCCTCTCACCCTCCGCATCTCTGGCCTGTACCCCAGTTCTGTATGAATAAATAAATAAATCTTAAAAAAAAACTTAATATGCAAAGAAGATACAATGGAACAAAGAAAGTTTGTTCAGCAAATGGTGCTGGGAAAACTGGGAAGCTACATGCAAAAAAAAATGAAACTAGATTACTACCTCGCTCCATACACAAAAATCAACTCGAAGTGGATTAAAACCTAGACATAAGAACGAAAACCATAAAATACCTGGAAGCAAAGATAGGTGAAACACTACATGACATACACTTCAGTAACATTTTTTAAGATACAGTACCCAAAGCAACGATAGTGAAGGAAAGGATAAACAGATGGGACTGCATCATTTTAAAGAGCTTCTGTACAGCAAAAGAGACATTACAAAAAACAAACAGACATCCCACTGATTGGGAAAAAATTTTCTCACACAAAACTAGCAATAAAGGATTGATCAAAAAGATAAACAAAGAACAGATGAAACAACAAAAATAAACAACTCCATCAAAAAACAGGCAGAAGAGCTAAAAAGACACTTCTCCAAAGAGGAGATGCAGATGGAAACAAGCATATGGAAAAATGTTCAACATCACTTGTAATAAGGGAGATGCAAATTAAAACCACAACGAGATACCACCTCACCCCTGAGAATGGCACATGTTAAAACTACTAGCAACAACAAATGTTGGTGAAGGTGTAGAGAAAAAGGAACTCTCCTGCACTGCTGGTGGGAATGCAACCTAGTACAACCACTATGGAAAGCTGTTTGAAGGCTTTTCAAACTGCTAAAAATGGAGTTTCCATATGACCCAGCAATCCCACTCCTAGGTATCCACCCAAAAGACACAAAAACACTGATTCAAAAAGACACCTGCACCCCCATGTTTATTTACAATTGGAAAAACATGGAATCAACCCAAATGCCCAAAAGTGGATAACTGGATTAAAAAGGTGGTACAACCTCACCCCAGTGAGAATGGCACATCTTCAAACAACTAGCAACAACAAATGTTGG